TAATGGCCCCCAAAAGCCTATTCTAATTACCAAGGCCCCGACACTAGGTTTCGGACGGCTGGGCCTGAAGCCCGAAGACCTACCTGAGACTTCCCCAAGAATGTTGCCATAAATGCGACGGTTTAGGGTTTAGGGTTTAAGGTTTAGGATTAGGGTTTATTCAGGTGAGGCCCTAAGCCTTAAACCCCGAACCCGTAAACCTGTTCTTCGAACTTGGACTTCTCGGTTGAGTCTTTAGGGTTCCTATGTCATGGTTGGAGACCATCCTAGAGCTTTAGGGGTGCTTGAACTAGGTTCTGGATTTAGAGCTCGGGCTTCTTAGGGCTGTAAAGAAATCAGGCACCGAAGCTAGGCTACCACAGTCGGAATAGATAGCAAGCAGTATGCATTCCCAAGAATGTGAGTGACAAGCGCCGCCTTTTTCCAATCCTCAGCTTGGCTACTAGCCGGAATAATTAGATTAAGGCTCCGGTGTATAGTTTCGGTTGTTTTATCCGGGGACTGTTATAAGGAAATATTCCTGGAAAGTTGAATGGGGTGGTGAGATCAGTCTGGTATATTGCTTTAGCACAGCTCGCCACTGTCACGTCTACGCCCTTTTCGCATGCCGATTCCTTTGCAGGAGTGCGATTTCCTAAGCCCCCAACAGTAAGTAAAATAATGGCCCAAAACCCATAAAAGGCTGTTATTTTACATACTTTTGGGGTCCAGGTAAGTATCATCCATCTCTCTGTTTCACCCAAATGCTGCGCATCACCCGGATGCTGTCCGGGGAAGAGGTGGCCGAGCTTTTCTGTGGAGTTGAGCGAGGGGTTTAGGGTTTAGGGTTTAGGGTTTAGGGGTGAAGGCATTAAAGCAAGAACTGAATCGCAAGTACCACCAGCCACCGCGATACAGGAAAAGACTCTTTCTCTGCGGCCATCCCGATGATCCCTTAGATGATGCTGTCCTGCTGGACTCGCCCATGGAACTGCAGTTAGTCTTACTTCCATATTCCGCCATATCCTCCGAGACTGAAGCGGAAGAGCTGGCGACTGCCTCTGCCAACGGCTCCCTGGCCGAGGCGAGTCCCACCGGAGCTGCGGAAGCGCCAACGGAAAATCTCCCAACTCCTAAGTAGCTCAATTAAATGACACGTAGAAGCCGCAGCCCTAAAGTCAGATTCAGAGAAATATCGCAACTATTAAATAAAGCAAGGCAACCCCTAGCCGTAAACTCAGAGTCAGAGCCAACAGGCAGGTTGAGGCCATGTTGCAGCAGCCTCGGCACCCAGACATCGCCGACAAGGACGGCTTCACTGCGCTGATGGCAGCTTCTCGAAATGGCCAGGTGGATGTTGTGTGTTTCTGGGTTCTCCAGTTTAGTACTGTTCCGCACGGGGTTTCTTTTGGGCTTCCCGTATCAAAACCGAGTCGTAGGACAAAAGGACCCTACTCTTATGACTAAGCGGAACTATGGGAATTAGGGTTTAGGGGACCCTTATGATTAAGGGGCTACTGAGGAACCTAGGTTTGCTGCGGGAGGCCGGTGCCACAAAGAATAGGGTTTAGGGTTTAGGGTTTAGGGTTTAGGGTTTAGGGTTTAGGGCCAACAATACAGGCTTCACTGCCCTGATGATGGCCTCTGTCAACGACCATGTTGAAGTCGCGCAGTTGCTGCTGGATGGTGGTAACTTTGTAGTGCAGAAAGTGGCCTTAACCCGAAACCCTAAACCCCCAAACCCCCAAAGCCGAAACCCCTAAACCCTAAAGCCGAAACCCTTTGTGGGTTTTTGAAATCCCTGTGGAATCCCAAAGGTTGACCTTTAAAGTTGCCCCTAGGAGACTGGGCAAGTAAGGCAACGACATCAACTTGGCCAACAACATTGGCTTCACGGCTCTGATGCTGGCGTCTTTCCGCGGCTATGCTGAAGTCGTCCGGTTGCTGCTGGATGCCGGCGCCGACAAGAACATGGGCATTCGCAATGGCAAAACTGCCCTGATGCTGGCATCCCAGAGGGGCGCGGTTGAAGTCGTGCGTTTGCTGGAGGCGGCCGATCTCGACAAGCACTCAACCTAGAAACGGCGTGACGCTTTGTTTGATGATGGCATCCCCAAAAGGCCGTGTTGATGGCCAGCTCGTGCTGATTGTATATACCGCAGTCAATCAAAATGCGAAGCATGAGGTGTCTTAGCTAGGAAGTACGGGAACACAGTTAGGCAAGATTCCATGTTACATATGACGTTCCTTGACATGCATTTGTTTGATACAGAGCTTATAAGTAGTAGAAGTCTTACTTAGTTGGGGACCCTACATAAGGTATGAGTACCCTGAATATCGAGAACCTCTCCCAGTTCCCTCTGGTGGTTCTCCCGAATCCTTCCACCAGCCCTGTCCTGCTTTCACTATGCGTTTCAATGAGCTACTTGGAGGTTCATGGGTAGTTATAAGTAGGGTTATAAGTCCCCTGATATGGGTTATAAATATAGTTACCCTACTTATAACCCCACTTATAACTACCCATGAACCTCCAAGTAGACCAGCTCCCAATCTTTGCCATCGCAGGTCTCTTACAGGCTGCCTTACCTCGGGGTGGGGAGGGAGTGGGGCTCGTAGCACGGATCCCGCCATCGAGGCTCCTCAGCTTTTCTCATATCTTAGGTTCCTAAACCCTAAACCCTAAACCCTAAACCCCTAAACCCCCAAACCCCTAAACCCCTAAACCCTAAACCCTAAACCCTAAACCGTGCAACCCTAAGACCCGAAGCCTCCCGTAAGCCAGAGCAGACCCATGCAAGTGCACGATCGCTAACCCCAAACCCCTTGCAACCCCATTAGGGGTGCAGGGTTGAGGGTTTAGGGTTTAGGGTTTAGGCCCGAAAAGCGGACACCCCGAACCCCATTCCCGACACCTTCAAACCCGGAAAAAGCCCGACACCTAGCTAATCAGGACAGTCAAAACCATATTTTCATCATAGAAGGAACAAGCCCCAAGCCCGTTTCGAATGCTGCAGGCCCCTATATAAATCTGACATGTGGAACATGGCTATGTTGGTTCATGTATCTGAAGCTTAGTCAGTTGTCAAAATTTTTGCTTTGGCTTTGCTATGGTTAAGCTGCGACGGAACCACAAAGGTTTTTTGCTTACGGCCTCCCAGCGGCTTACTAAAACGGGGCTTAGGGTGTAGGGCTAGGGTTTTGGGTTTAGGGTCATAATATGACTTTCTTACAGTTCTCCACAGATTAGCAATATCAGATACCCTCAATTGCCCAAAATATCCTACTCTTGATACACAAGGCCCTTCTGTTACCCAGAGCCGTCCCATCGCCTCAGCCGGGGGAACGCCCCTTTCGGAACCTCGCACACCCCTGGACCCCCAAACTCTGAAGACAGAGCAGGGGCACATGCGGCGATAGATTTTTGCAATACAAGATACGCAAAGGTTTAAGTCACTCTACATATATATATATATATATATATATATATGTACTTTATGTATGTTTATTCATTTGTCCTTATCATCACATTTATATTTATGTGTACAAATACATGTACACATAGACCCACACTGCATCCCGTAAGTAAGCATGCCTAGCCTCTCCTTGTTTCGGTGTAGTCCTTGTTACATCTAAACCCTAAACCCTAAACCCTAAACCCTAAACCCTAAATACTCGTAGCCAGGTCCGCAGCTGGGTCAACGGTGTGGCGATGCAGGAGCTCGAGTGACTGCTCTGGACTTTCAGGGCTTGGGGTTTAGGAGTTTTAGGGTGCAGGGTTTAGGGTT